TAGATAATTCAGGAAACAAAAGAGAAGCTTTAAAAAAACCTATATTTTAAAAAAAATATTTAGTTATTTATTTTATCAGTTACCGTTGACATTTAATAATATTTTATGTTAGTTTCAGGTGTACAGCATAGTGGTCAGAGACATATACTTTGCGAAGAGATCCCCTGAGAGTTCTAGCACCCACCTGGCACCATACAGTTATGACAGTATTACTGACTGTGTTGTTATTCCCGCTCCTGTGCTTGACATTCCCTTGACTATTGTGTGGCTACCAATGTGGACTTCTCAATGCATTCACCTTTTTCACTCAGTCCCCCAACTGCCTCCCATCTGGCATTCCTCACTTTGTTCTCTGTATCGATGAGTCTGTTTCTGCTCTGTTAATTTTGTTCTTTAGATTCCACATATAAGTGAAATCATATGGTATTTGTCATTCTCTATTGAGTTATTTCACTTAGCATAATATCCTCCAGGACCATCTATGTTATGAGAAATGGTAGGATTTCATTTGTTATGGCTGAGTAATATTCCGTTGTGTATATATACGTCACTGTTTCTTTATTCATCTATTGATGGGCACTTATGTTGCTTACATATCTTGGCTATTGTAAATAATGCTTCAGTGAACATAAGCGTGCATATATCTTTTAAAATCAGTGTTTTTTTATTTTATTTTTAATTTTATTTTTGTTACAGCTGTTTCTCCTTTTTTACCCCCTTGACCCTCCTCTCCATCCTCCCCGCCCCGTCCCCAGCTTTGTTGTCCATGTCCATTGGTTATGTGTATATGCATATAAGTTCTGTGGTTTATCTCTTCCCTTCCCCCACCATCCCCTCTTCTGAGGATTGTCAGTCTGTACCCTACTTCCATGTTTCGGGATCTACCCTATTCCTCAGACTATGTTCATTATATTCCACAAATAAGTGAGATCATGTGATATTTGTCTTTTTCTGCTTGGCCTGTTTCACTTAGGATAATACTTTCAGGTCCCTCCATGTCGTCTCAAAGAATAAGAGATCTTTCTTTCTTACAGCTGCATAGTACTCTATTGTGTATATGTACCACTGCTTTTTTATCCATTCGTCTACTGATGGACATTTGGGCTGTTTCCAGATCTTAGCTATTGTAAATAGTGCTGCTGCAAACATGGGGGTACAAATATTCTTTCTGATTGGTGTTTCAGACTTCCTAGGGTATATTCCTAGAAGTGGGATCACTGGGTCAAATGGAAGTTCAATTTTTAATTTTTGAGGTAACACCATATTGTGTTCCTTAGTGGCTGCACCAGTCTGCATTCCCACCAGCAGTGTACTAGAGTCCCCTTTTCTCCACACCCTCGCCAACACTTGTTGTTTGATGATTTGTGGATGGCGGCCATTCTGACAGGTGTGAGGTGATACCTCATTGTTGTTTTAATTTGCATCTCTCTGATGATTAGTGATGTTGAGCATTTCTTCATATGTCTCTTAGCCATTTGTATGTCCTGTTTGGAGAGGTGTCTGTTCAGCTCCTTTGCCCATTTTTAAATTGGGTTCTTTGTCTTCCTTTTGTTGAGTTGTATGAGTACTCTATATATTTTGGAAATTAACCCCTTATCTGAGGTATCATTGGCAATGATGTTCTCCGATACAGTGGGTTGCCTTTCCATTTTGATGGTTGTTTCTTTTGCTGTGCAGAAGCTTTTTAGTTTGATGTAGTCCCATGTGTTCATTTTTTTCCTTTGTTTCTGTTGCCTTAGGTGATGTATCAGTGAAAATTCTGTTGCATATGATGTCCGAAATTTTGTTGCCTACATTTTTTTCTAGAATTTTTATGGATTCACAGTTCACATTTAAGTTTTTTATCCATTTTGAGTTTATTTTTGTGTATGATGTAAGTTGATAATCTAGTTTTATTTTTTTTGCATGTAGCTGTCCAATTTTCCCAACACCATTTATTAAAGAGGCTGTCTTTATTCCATTGTATGCTCTTGCCTCCTTTGTCAAATATTAATTGAGCATAGTGTCTTGGGTTCATTCCTGGGTTCTCTATTCTGTTCCACTGGTCTATATGCCTGTTCTTGTGCCAGTACCAGGCTGTTTTGATTACAGTCACTTTGTAGTATAACCTGATATCTCGTATTGTGATCCCACCTATTTTGTCTTTCTTCTTCAAGATTGCTGTGGCTATTCGGGGTCTTTTTTGGTTCCATATGAACTTTTGAAATATTTGTTCTAGTTCTGTGAAATATGTCATTGGTATTTTGATGGGGATTGCATTGAATCTATAGATTGCTCAAATTAGTGCTTTGGATTTCTTTGGATATATATCCAGAAGTTGAATTGCTAAGATGTTAGGTAGGTCTACTTCTAATTTTTTTGAGGAAGTTTCATACTGTTTTACATAGATGTTGTACCAATTGCAACCCCATAACAGTGCACAAGGGAAACTTTTCTGGACATCCTTGCCAACACCTGTTTGTTGATGATAGCCATTTTGACAGTTGTGAGGTGATATCTCATTATGGTTTTAATTTGCATTTCTCTGATGATTAGTGATGTTTAGCATCTTTTCATATGTCTATTGGCCATCTATATGGCTTCTTAGGAGAAATGTCCATTTAGGTCCTCTGCCCATTTTTTAAATTGAATGTTTTGTTTTATGGTGGTGAGTTGTATGAGGTCTTTATCAATTTTGGATATTGATACCCTTATCAGATGTACCATTGGCAAATATATTCTCACATTCTGCAGGTTGTCTTTTCATTTTTTTGATTGTTTCTTTTGCCATGAAAATACTTTTTAGTTTGATGTAATCCCATTTGTTTACTTTTTTCTTTTGTTTTCCTTGCCTGAAGATATACTTTAAAAAATATATATTATTAAGAACAATGTCAGAAATTGTACAGCCTATGCTTTCTTCTAAGAGTTTTATGGTTTCAGATCTTATATTTAACTCTTTAATCCATTTTGAATTTATTTTTTTATTATTTGTTTGTTAATCCTCACCTGAGGATATTTTTTCACTGATTTTTAGAGAGAGTGGAAAGGAGGGAGAGAGGGAGAAAGAGAGAGAGACAGAGAGAGAGAGACAGAGAGACATTGATTGCTTGCCTCCTGCATGCACCCCAACCAGGGTCAGGGATTCTGCAACCCAGGTATATGCCCTTGACCAGGAATGGATCCCATGACCCTTTGGTATACAGGCTTATGCTCTAAACATTGAGCAGCACTGGCCAGGACTGAATTTATTTTTGTATATGGTGTAAGATGGTCATTTAATTTCATTTTTGTGTGTGTATATCTGTCTAATTTTTTCAACACTATTCATTGAATAGACTGTCTTTACAACTCTTTTTATATTATTGCCTCCTTTGTCATAAATTAATGGGGATGGGTTTATTTTGGGGCTCTCTCTTCTGTTTTATTGATCTGTGTATCTGTTTTTAGACCAGTACCATGTTGTTTTGACTACTATAGGTTTGTAGTATAGTTTGATATCAGATAGTGTGACACTTCCATCTTTGTTCTTTCTCAAGATTTCTGTGGCTATTAAAGGTCTTTCATGGTTTCATATAAATTTTAGGATTATTTGTTCTAGTTCTGTAAAATATGCCATTGGTATTTTGATAGGGATTGCATTGCATCTATAGATTGGTTTGGGTAGTATTGTATTAACTATGTTAGTTGTTCCTTTCCAAGAGCACAGTATATGCTTCCACTTATGTGTATCTTCTTCAGTTTCTTTCTTCAGAGTTTTATAATTTTTTGAGTATAGGTCATTTACCTTGGTGGTTAAATTTATTTCTAGGTTTTGTTTTTGTTTTTGTTTTTTTTGCTTTAACTATAAATGGAATTGTTTTCTTAGTTTCTCTTTCCGATAGTTCATTTTTGGTGTATAAAGATGCAACCAATTTCTGAATATTTATTTTGTATCCTGCTATTTACTGAATTTATTTATCCACAACATTTTTGTGTGTATTGTATGATGCTCCAACCAACTCAGCTACCCAGCCATGGCTTCTTTAATTTTAAATGATAGCCTTACTGGATAGAATAGTTTTGGTTGTAGGTCATTGCTTTTCCTCATTTTGAACATTTTGTGCCAATCTCTTTTGGCCTAAAAAGTTTCTCTTGAGAAATCATCTGACAGTCTTATGGGAGCTCCCTTGTAGGTAACTGTTTTTATGTTGCTGCTTATAAGATTCTCTTTTTGTCTTTAATCTTTGCCATTTTAATTATGATGTGTCTTGTTAAAAAATCTATGATATCTTTGGAAAGATGAGAGATAGTATTATATCCATGATATAAAAGGGCCAGTCTATAAAAAAAGGAATAATCAGAAAATAAAAATGAGGTCTTCAAAATTAAATATAGTAAAAAAAAAAAAAGAAGAAGAAGAAGAACATGTATTGAGAGGGATAGAAGATAAAGTCAAGTAAACTTCCTAGAAAGTAGAATAACAGGCCAAGATGCACAGTGGGGATGGAGGGAAAATAAGGTAGAAATGTACTAGATCAGTCCATGAGGTTCAGCATTTTATAAAAGGAGATCCAGAAATAGAAACCAGAAGAAGATGGTGGGGAGACAAGTATCAAGCAATAGTACAAGAAAAAAAAAAAATCAAAATGGAATAACAGGAATTTATAGGTTTAAAGGGAAGCGAAAGTACCCAGAATAATAGATTTAAAAAAAAAAAAAAAAAAAAAGATTCTCATGAAGATTCTTTATTGCGAGAACTCAGAACACCAGGGATTAAAAAGAAGATTTCAAAACTTTCCAGAGAAATAAACATGTCACATTTAAATGATTAAGAATACCCATGGAATCAGACTTCTCAAAAGTAAAACTGCGAGCTAGAAGCCAGTGAAGTACAGACTTTAGAATTCTGAGGGAAATTACTTTTACTTGGAATTGAATGACAAGCTTAACTATCAAACATGTGTGAGAGCAGAATTAAGACATTTTCAGACACACAAGGAAGGTCTCAACAAATTTACCTCCCATGTACCTTTTCTCAGGAAGCTTCTAGAGAATGTGCTCCACAAAAATGAGGCTGTAAACCAAGAAAGAAAGAGGAAACCATGGGATCCAGGAAACGGGGGACCCAACACAGGCGAGAGGCACAGGGATTTCGCAAGATGGTGTTAAAAAGAAGCCCCAGGACAACAGGTGGGCAGCTGGCCTGGGAAACTACTAGATGGGAGGATCCTAGAGGGGCAACAGATGTGATGGATGGGCCAACTGGTTGATCACATAAACAATGGTCTTGATAGGGCTTCTGTGATTCCTCTAAATAGTTCAGGAACAGTGAGTAATAGGTAAACACACAAAAAAGGAAGAAATACAAGACATCAGGAAAAACAAAATATTGAACAAGATAGGAAGTGTATTAAACTATGTTGCTCAATAGTAAACATATTACATGGTCCCATGAATAAACACAGCATATCCGTTGAACCCCAAGTTGCTATTTAAGCCCCTGGAAGGGTTGGGGAGGGAAGCTTATTGGGAGGTGGTGAGAGGGTACGAGTGCTACGTTTCCCTCATTTTTCGTAGTAGTGAGAGATTAGATAATGTCTGAAATGATAATTTAAGAAATGTCACTGTGCACACATTACTTAAATGTATGGAATCAAATATCACAATGAAAAGTTACAAGTGGTTTCCTCTCCCAAGGCAGGATTCAACCTCCCTTTGGGGTGGGGTAGGCTAGAGATGCTGGTTAGTCCTCCTGTCCTGAGCAAGCCCCTCGGTCAACCAAACTAAGACTAATTGTACCCATCTAGGAGGTTGCTCACTGGCAAATACCTAGCCTTCACTTTAGAAGCAAACAGCAGCAAAGTGGGTTCCCCGGGGAGCAGGAAAAAGTGGGTAGCAACACGAGGGGTGGGTTCCTGCCTTGGGTTATAGGCTTTAGATGTTATTTGCCTTTTTAACCTGTAGGCATATATTACTTGGATAAGTATTAAGGTGGTTTTAAAAATTCCTGAAATTAGAAATTGAGGTTATAAAAGCAAAGTACACAAATACTCCTCCTAAAAAAAATAAATAAAAAAGCAAAAGCAGAAACAGAGGAGGAAATTATGGTGATTTTCTCCTGTTGTCTACCACCGCTCCCCACATTGTGTCCGGGCCACTGCATGCTCCCTGTACAGCACCTGAGCTGTCCCTCACCTGCGCCTGTGCTTGGAGTGCAGTCAGTGCTCCCCGTGTGTCCCCATCTTCACACACACTCACACTCTCGTCCCTTCACAGGGTCCCCGTGTTCCACCCCCACCCCGACCTGGTCACACCTCAGCCCAGGTGGACCGCAGGACTCTCTCCTTTCTTTCAATTCCTGTTGTGCTGCCCTCGGCACCACTCACCACACGCAGCCGTGCGTCACATAGGAGCTTCTACTTGTCCTGTCTTTGTTGAGAGCCTGGAAGTTGACATGGGCAGGAACCATATTGCAGTGTATTTGTTCCTCCTACAGAGTCTGGAAGAGTGCTGACATATTCCAGGTACTGCTTCAGATACTAATTGAATGAATAAATTAATCTTTCATTAAATGTGAAATCTGTTCAGTCAGATGGCCCAGTGCTAAGCATCTGTGTCCACGTAAATAAATAGGAGCGGAGGGTAAGGATTTTTTGTTTGTGTTTGTTTAAGGCAGCTTATGTGCTTTCTCCTAAGGGGGAAGATCATGCCCAGAGCCCAGAGGGGAAACTGCTCCCTGAAGTTTTTTGCACGCTGCCTTTGTGAGGAATGTGGAACACTTGTCACCTGGAGGGTTGACCTTTTCATCTCACTCTGCAGGGGTTACAAATAGCCGGGCACTGAGGACAGTGTGGCCAGCAGGGCGTCCCTGGCCTCCAGGTAGAGCCTGCCCTTGCACCTGGTGGACAGGGAGGCAGCCCAAGATGTGGTAGGAAAAGGGGAAACTCTCATGAGGCCAGACCAGTAACATAAAAAAAAAAAGTCAGTAAAGACTGAATGACACAGCGTAGTCACCTGGTAGAGGGGTACAGCTCGGGCTTGCACCCACAGCTTCTTAACCTAATTTAAGTTGTTTTCTACTTCATCAGGCTTTATACCACACTCCCCAAATCTCGGTGTAAACACGCAACTCCTCACCTCACAAATGATAACAGTATGATCGCAAACATTCCATTCGTACAGGTAGCACCTGCCCGTCGGGTGTGGTGTGTGCACACAGTGGAGTGCTGGGAACCGCTAAGCAGGAGGGAGCACCTGCGCAGTGGTCTGGTGAGGGCTTCCACATCCGTCACTCAAGGAAAAAGCTCGTGTGGAGTAGGATACCTCCCAAATGGCCTTACTCAAACACCATCTTTTCACCGAGGCTTTTCCTAACTACTGTATTTATGATGGCAAATACCGCCCTCTCTTGTTTCTGGCTGTTTCTCCATTGGCATTTATCCCTATTTGACATAATATACATTTTACTTCTCTGTTCGTGATCTATCTCTCCTACTGGAATGTAAGCTGCGAGAGGGATGGTGTGTGTTTTATTTACTGTTTTGCCTCCCGTGCCTCTGAATGACAGGATGAATGAATTTGTAAAAACCACGTTTGTTATTTTCATAGACAGTCCTGGAAGGCCACCAACCTCACAGAGCTATGGCTGAGATGTAGAACTTGAGCATGTGGGTGGAAGATTAACTTTCAGCGCATATATGCATCATGTTTAAAAATAAAAACACAAGCTTCACCCCATTTAAAGTGTTTGTCAAATGGTTATCACAAAATATAAGTTAGCGCCATTTACTTTTGGTTCTGAGATCATAAACACCATTCACAATCTCTGATCCTTCTAGAGGTCAAGTTGTAAGTGGGCCACATTTCAAGTCCATGGACTTGATACTTTAGGAGGCCTTTACCAGCGGAGGCTTTTGTTTGTCACGGTGGTACCGTCTGCGGTGATGCTGTGGGGGGTGGGGTGGTTTAGGTCAGATACATTGATATCTTCTAACTTAGGTAAATGACCCGGGGCACGTTACTTAACCACTCTGCTTCTCGCTTTCCTTGCCTATAAAATTGGGGTCGTTTTTTCTATGAACAGATGGTCTGGTCCAAGCAAAACAAGATGACATCTGTGTATCAGTGTCCAGCAGGATCTGATTCAAGGTGGGGTTTCCTTTTCCCTACAAAGGTGCCCCAGAAAGAAGACTCTTAGTGACAAAGTCTTGGCTCTAACTACTCCAAGTGTGGTTCCAGGATCACTGGAGTTTATTAGAAATGCAAAGTCTCTGCCCTGGCCGGTTTGTCTCAGTGGTTAGAGCTTCGGCCCGCAGACCCGAGAGTCCTGGGTTCGGTTCCCTCTAAGGGCATGTACCTTGGTTGCAGTTTGTCCCAGGCCCCAGGTGGGGTTGTATGGATGGCAACCACTGGATGTTTCTCTTTCACACCGATGTTTCACTCTCTCTTCCTCCCTCTCTATCTGAAGATAAATGCAAAAATGTCCTCGGGTGAGGATTAAAAAAAAGAAAAGAAATGCAAAGTCTCAACCCTCACCTGATCTAGTGAATCAGAATCTGTACTTTAATGAAATACTCAGGCGATTCTTGTGCACAGTAAAGTCTGAGCAGCTCTTTTGATGTTTCTTATAGCAGTATTCAGACAGGTTTATATTAATCATGTGCTTATTTCCTGTATTTTATGATACTTTGACATCTTAGGGCCTGGGAGACCCCAGGTGGAGGCACTGTCCTTCCCAGGGTGCCCCGAAGCACCCCTTTGATATGCAAACCAAGGAATCCTGAGTTGGTGCCCCTACCAGCCTCATTTCATCAGGCTCCTGCAGTGGGGAACAATCCTAAATCACTGGGGGGCCATCACTGGACAATTAGGAACAACTCCTTTTCCCCCAAACCCACTGGAATTATTTAAACTGTCCGATCTTACACCTTCTCACCGCGCCCTGCTTTCCTTGCCTGTGGAAGCACAGTGAAGGCTTCCCCGTGTTTCCCGCACTGGCTCTGCGCGGCCCACCTCCGCCCGAGCGCCAGCTGGCTCCCGTGCTGCGCAGGCCTCCTCTTGGAAACTGGAAGCAGCAGACGGTCTGTCCAGTGGCAAGCATGCCTTACTTTGTTGGCCTCACCATACCTGAATTAAACCAAATCCCAGGCACATTTTAAAACAAGGCTACCCTTTTAAACTTCTTTCCTAGTTCAATGCCACCTGCTCCTCTTCCCCCTTTAACTTGCCAATGCCAGTTTCATCTGAAGAAGTGCGAGGGTGCCCAGCAGAGCCAGATGTTCTGGCGTGGCATGACTAACAGGCTGGAACATAGGAGGATGCTTAAGCCACTCATCAGCCTGAACTTACTTTTAAATACAGATGATCAAGGATAACCATGCACAAGGCTGTAAATCTGCTTAATGTAGTATGACTACTTTGAATACCAATAATGCTCCTTAAGCACAGCTTTGAACACTTCAGAAACTGCTATTAGACATGATTAAGACCTTCAAGATAATGGAACCATTTGCAGGGAAACACACACAGTTATTTACATTATTCTGAGATGTTAAGGGAACAAATGAAAACCTGCCGTCCACATGTATCCATTCTTCCCTGTGGCTCCTTCACCTGGTGTGTGGGCTTTCGGGGCGGACAGGGCGCCAGGCAGCTCGCTCCCCACAGCTGCCCCCTCTCTGCTCCCCCGGCTTGGAAGATGCTGGATGTATGGAGTGAGCTGACAGAAGCCGAGGTGAATAAAAGCAAATGTTAAAAGAACATAAAAGGGACTTTTCTCCTTATGATGTAAAAGAAAAGAATGCAATAAGGAGTGTCTATTTCAGAAGTGTTCCACATTTGTTAGATAAGATGACGAGAACAGAAGATAGCAATGTTATTGTAACATTTCCCTTATAAAAGTTTTACTACAGTCTTACTGAGAAATTATCATTTGACTAGCAGCTTTTAATTAGAAATGTTAGACAAGGAAATTTTCCATTGACTATCAGAATTGATGCTATAAAATAAACCCTCACCACACACACACACACACACACACACACACACACACGTAATATATGTGTTAACTTCCTTTATGGTGGTAATCATTTCACAATATATACGAATATCACATCATCACCTCTCTGTGTTACATTGATACAATTTTATTTGTCAAGCATACCTCATGAAAGCTGGAAAAAAGAAATAAA